GCGAAAACGCAGCGCAGATGGCGTCGCAGAGCTCGGCGTCGTCGGCCGCGAGAAGGCGCGCGAGGCTGTGGAGAGTAGAGGTGGCGTCGTTGGCGGCGGCGAGCGCCGACCGCACCTTGGTCGTCACGGCGGGCGACAGCGCAGCATGGTCGAGCTGCGTAAGGAAGCCAACGACCGCTTCGCCAAGATCGGCCATATCTTGAACTTGCGTGGTCCAGTAGCGGATTGGGACCAAACCAATCAACGCCCAACGCCATTTGATTGGTCCCGCCACATCCGGATATAGTATCCGGATGTCGACGCCGAAACCGTGCGAAACCGGCCATCTCACGAGAAAGGACAGTACGACGAGTGTTCATAGTCCTTGAACACTATTCTTTAACTAAAGTTCATCTAGTCGGTATCCTGGAGGTACCTCGAACCGGAAGCGTTCCATGGGTACATGCAGTGGAGCTCATGGTGGAGCCAGGTGGCAGAGGGCGTCGACTGCGCCTGGGTGCGAGACAGCATGATCCGAATCGAGAGCGCGACAAGAAGCGCCACTAGTCGTGCCTCGCTAGGAAGACTCGCTAGTGTCGGGATATTGTATTACTGGGAACCCAAAGGTAGCATAGATGCAGCTTGATCCACGAGCTGTAGAGTGTCTGGACTGCTCAGACTGGCGGCAATGGGACGCCATCGCACCAAGGCTAATCATTGTCCAAGACACTCGATTGCTATCATTTCGAACGTCTCTCTACGCCCCGACGCTGTAAATGACAGTGACCTATGATACCGATCCAGGACGAGGTGCTTCGGGAGGTACACACGCATGTACATGCATGAACTCAAAAGGCATCAACTATGCTTCCTCGCTGCAAGTGCGGTCACGCGGTGGACGGTGTGTGGGCAATGGCTGCCGTCAGCAAGGCGGATGGTCTCGATGGAATAGTATTGTCAAATAATTGTTAGTTGACGAGCCTCCTACATCGAGCCTGCTCCCCTGCTCCTTCTTCACGCTCGTACATCGTATGTTGTACAAAGCTAAGCGTAGACTGGAAGGCTGATCGAGCATGCAAGAGCGGGCTGGCTCGCAGTGATTCTTGCTACTCTACGACGTGCGGTGGCAGGTGCCGCCACAACGCGCGACCGTGTAGCTTCCTATACGACGTTAATGTGACTAGCTCGTAAACCAACGCTGCGCAACCCCTTGCACTGCCCGCCGAAAGCTCAACACGTCGCGTGGGCAGGTGTTGTGTCGTCTTGCACATTCAAGAACTGGGGCCAAGCAGAATCAAGTGCATACAAGGAACAAGCCACTTCAACATTGAAGATCATGGTTAAAGTAAAAGGTCAAAGCTTGCCTCCGTTTCAAAGCTAACCAAAGTTCTCTCACATTTGGCATTTGCCATTACATCAAACACACACAAACACAACGGCCACGGCCAGTTGTGGCAGGTTGGTTTCACTGGGTTGGTGTTGCTGGATTGTCCTGGCATCGCCAGAGCGCTTTTAAATGTCATTAGTATGCTTTTAACGGACAGCACTCTGGGCTGCACAGTGGCCTGGACATTTTAGCGGACTGGGAGCCGTCAAATTCTGGCGATGCGCCAGTAGTCCGGGAGTGTTGAATTTACTGGCGCGCTGCATAGAAAAAGAGAGGGGAAAAGTCCTGGATCCTATTTTATCATCATTTTATTCCAGCGCCAGCGCCACGAGCAATCCCCGGATTACGTAATCGTGATAGCTTGATTACGTCATACGAGCTGGGCCAGTAAGTCGCTGCCCAATCAGAACGGGGTATCAAAAGACCAGCTTGGCCAGTTTTGCCCCTTCTCATTGGATAAAATGCAGGTTTTTCTAAGGCCGCCGCTAAGGCCCGAATACAAGAATCGAGTCATTCCTTCACGCGGTAATATTATTGGGCAAAATTATGCAATTTTCCGTGGCCGGTGTGTCATTCCGCAATCAGCATGCAGTCCACAGCGGTCGCGCGCGGCGCGACGTGCCTCACGACCAAGCGCTGGAGTCGCCGTAGCGACGCATGAGGCCGAGACGCGCGCTTTTTCTTCCAAGACCTACAGCCTGCGCTCCCTCAAGATGATCGTTCCTGCCGCGTACGCTCGACACCGTAGACGCACATGTGTGCGAAGTGTGCACGTCGGCATCGCCCAACTGCGTTATGAAGAACCCGAGCTACACGTTCCCGGCGCTCAAGCTGGCGACCGCGCCACCGACGATTGCGCCTCCATTGGCGCCCCTCCATTGTACGCCCGTCACCTCCCGCGTTACTCTTTCTTCTCTCACCTCTTCACTAGGGACGGCGGTCGCACCCGAGGAGACGCCACGCCGCTGCGCGACAGCGCTAGAGAACCCCCGAGGCAACGCGCAGATCCCGCAAGGTATGTAGAGCGACGCGCATCGTGCTGCCCGCGCATGCACACTTACATAGGTGTTGCTCTGGTAGGGCATTGCCCAACCTGCGCATTGGCCGATCGGCCATTGACGGGCGCTCCACGATCAACTTTCGTTGGCTCGCGGCAGATAGCTGGCTCGTCGACCCGCGCCGCGGATGCTCTGCGCCGACAGCGATGCTGTCAGCAAACCAAACGCGTTCGACGAAGGCGCGCTGATGCGGCGGCAAGGTCGACCGACAACGAATACTACGGAGTACGCGGCAACGAGAAGCGGTCGAAGCCGATGGGTAGTACTGCATGTTCAAGTTAATGAGATTGCTTCAATCGTGGATGATGATTCTGGCTTGGTACGAGGGCGCATGGGAGGCGCAGTTTCGTGGCGACTCGAGGGCGTCGATGAGCAAATTAGGGAATCGCGATAGCATATCGGTAGCGGCCTGGGTGGCTAGGTGTGCATAGCACAGTGCGACCTTGAAGCAGAACCAGCGCGCTAGCTCATCGCGGTGCTATATTCGCAAGTGCCGTGAACTCACGTCCAGGCGGCGACAGCGGCGGCCGAGGAAGCGCGCGCGGTGGTCTCCTCTGTGAAGAAGGCGCATGCTAGCTGTGTGAGGGCGCGCCGATGGATGGCGCGCAATAAGATGCTGCCTTGGAGGGTTCTGCTGGAAGCATCGACTTCGGCGGCAACGGCGTGGGTGGCTGGCGCTGCGCCGACCGCGCGGCCTGGTGCGCCCCGACGCAATAGAATGCTAAAGCACGCCCTTTGGTATTTGATCGGCATGGCCCGTATTCGATTTCCAAGGATATAAAGTTTCAATAGAGCAATGCCAGTAGCTCCTAAAGTGGCAAAACGCCAGTTGATTGGGATTGTTAGATTTACTGGCGCGCCGCATAGAAAAAGAGAGGGAGAAAATCATGGATCCTATTTTATCATCGTTTTTTGCGCGAGGGGCAGCCTTGGGCATTCCCTGGATTACGTAATCTCGATAGATTGATTACGTCATACCAGCGATGCCAGTAGAGCGTCAGCCAATCAGAACGGGGCATGAAACGCCTGTTTCGCTCGCTCTGATTGGACAAAATGATGGAATTCCCAAGTGTAGCGCCAAGTGCAGCCGTGCTAACGAGTATTTTTCAATCCATACGCAATCCGCTCAAATATTATCAAGTCATACTCATTTCATGACCAATATTATCAATGCATACTCAACGCATCTGATTGGCCAAAATAGACCAAATAGTCAACTCTGATTAGACAATACTCAAATAATCCAAGGAGCCTAGCACAGTCGCTACAACCCAAATAGTGTTAGCCAATACCAAAAAACGCAAATAGAGTATTTCCGACCGTTAATAGTGTTACATAATACAAAAAAACGCAAATAGAGTATGTCGGACCGCCGTTTCAATGTGGGGCTCAAATTTCGAAGTGAGACCGACCATCCCAGACAACTACTAGTACGATGCAGCGCGCGAAGCCCGTCGCCCAGCCGCCGACTGTTGGTCAACAGATGCTGCGGGGACAACTTGCGAGTGCCATCAAGGACTTCGCTCTA